TCTCAGTTCTGTGTCTTCTCGGCTGGAATCTCTTCACGCTGATCTAGCAAGAGAAAGTGCTCTGAAGGAAGAACTTGCTCTACAAGCATCCACGATTGAAATTCAGAAGGTTCAGCTCGCTCAAGCTGAAAAAGAAATTGCTTTGTTGAAGACGGAGAGAGCTGTTTTTCGCAGCTGTGCAGGGGATATGAAGGATATGCTCACCAACATTCTTGGTGCTCATGATCCTATCCTTACTTTGACCATTCAGAATCATCTCACTACCAAACTTATTCCTGTCCTTGCATTGTTACACGAGATGAAGGGTGTTTCGGAGAGATTTATTGCTCCAAAACAAGGGGGAGAGGGTGCTCATCAACCGAAGGTTAAAACTGAAACTGATTCTGCTCAACCGAAGATCAAAGTTACAACCGAACTGAAGGGTAATGTAGCTTCAGGTTCTGGTTCACAAGCCAAGCAAAAGCAGATTGATGATGATAGATATGACGAATCTGGTGAAACTATTGTTGAGGCTCTTAAGCGAAAGAAGAGGGATAAAGAGCTGGATGAAACCTTGAGGATTGTAAGGGAAGCAGAGGAGAGGGAAATGAGAAACAAGGAAGAAGAAGAAGCCTTAAATTGCAAGAAGGCCTTGTTTCCCCTATGGACTAAAGAGACACTTATCAATCAAGCTATAGATTTTCCAAGTGTTTATTGGTTGGAACCTGTTGCTTCGTTTGACTGTGACAATTCTAAGGACTCGCAGTTTGACATGCCAATAACACGAAAGGCATTCACGTTTCACTGTTTTGATTCGACTGCTGAGGTTCATTTTCCTCATCCTAAGGTTGCTCGTGAGCTTATAGACTTTTATTTGAAGTATGGTCAACCGCAGTACTTGACATGGAGCGCACAGAAGATAATCACTGTCAAGGTACTGAAACCTACGTCTGCTGGGAGGTTTATAAATGTTAATTTTAAAATCACATGAGGATCTGCAAACTCGGTGTCGACTATTTCCCTGGCAGACCTTCCAAATCTAAATCCTCATGACTGGATTCTTTTGTTTAATATTCTGCTCACAAATCCGAGGGAATATGAGCCGATATTGGAGCACTTGAAGAGGATGTTGGCTTCTTACATCCATGAGGTTGCAGCTATGGATCAAGAGATAGCGAAAGTGATGAATAAGAAACCGACCATCAAGTCAACACCGAAACCAGGAGATGTGAATAAGATGAAGATGGGGCAAATAGATTCAACACATCTTACTATGATGTTTACAAAAGGCGAAGCACACAGATTTTTATTCGCTCTTGTTGATAAACATTTATTTTCAACCGACTGCTTGGAGCACATCATCAACATTATTCATCGGTGCAAGCAGAACTCAGAAGCAGGCAAAAAGAACTTCACGGACATGCTTCGGTGGTACATAACGTTTCGTCATCATTTGCTGGCTATCATTCCGAAGGTGTTCAAAACAATAAAGAAGTCTTCTGCAGCTCAGCCGAAGTGAGCTTTCTGTTCCATTGATGCAAAGGGGGAGATTGTTGAGTCTAATTGTGTTGCGTCATGGGCTTATGTTTTGTATCCGGATTGGGTCTGCCCATCCATGATTAGCTAGTAGGGTTAGACTATAAATAATACATGCATGTATGCATTATAAGGTTAACGTTCTTGATTATCGATTATTGTTTTTGTAACCCTAAACACCTCTACAGTCGAAGTTCTTAATCGAGCTCTTCTGAAGTGTTAAAACATTAATCATACGACATATTCAAAGCCATTCTTGTGTTCATAATTACGTTCTTAATTGTTTGTCTGTCTAGAATCTATCGATCCTAATTGAACTTTGTTTCAACAACATCAATTTAAAATGTATTATAAAACTTCACATTTAATTAGTCCATTTTTAAACTGAAATAATATTTTAATACGAACGTATAATTACGAACATATCCTTTCATTATTTATATGCATAAAATATGAAAAATTATTATGTTATAGTTATAAAAATAAAATAAAAACATTGAAAATATTATATTATCATTATAAATTTATATTTTACAGATGAGATGTCATTAAACATTTTATAGGAATAACTAGATTGTAAATAAATTAAAAATATATAAAACTAAACTATAAGAGAAACTAAAGGTGTACAATGAAATATAATTATTAACCATTCAATATTGAGTGATCGAAATAAAAAAAGAAAAAAATATATAAACTATCATATCTAGACCGGTTTGGGTTTGTGTTACAACACTAAAAAACTGCCACTTAAAATATCATGTCGTTCTTAACACCATATCATTTATGTAGGAAATGGTGTTCAGAGAGAGAGAGAGAGAGAGAGAGAGAGAGAGAGAGAGAGAGAGAGAG